CAAGTGTAATTCCTGCAATGCTCCTTTGCAAGGGAGAACCAGGAGGGGCTTTCAAACTGGGTTTGGCATCCGTTTTGCTTCTTGCTTTAAAACCAGAAAAATGCTGCTTGTTTCTGTGTATCAGCTGTATTTTCCACTGTGGGCAATTCAGTATCAGCTGCCTATTACCTTGGTTGGTTACTCATAGAGCATGGCTTTCCTGTCTAGTGGTTCAGCTGTGCAGGCTGTTGATTGAAAGGGTGAGACACAGCCCAGGATGGGTCTGTTCATGAGGATGATGCTGTGTGCTGGGAATTACCCCTTGTAAAATTAATGAAATGGAAAATCCCCAATTCACCTCCAAGGCCTGGTGTGGGGGGAAGTCAGGGCCAGGTTGCATTGCTTTCCTCATCCCTCTTGTAATTCACCTGTCCCTTGTGTCTAGCATTTATTTAACCCCTTTAGCAAGAGATCCTGTGGCCTGGGAGGGGTCTTACTGCTGCAGGTGTTGGAATTAGAAATGCATAGGGCTGGGCATGCTGCAAACACGCTCCTCCAACAGATGCAATGCAAGAGCAGCTTGGTGGCTCCCTCCACCACTTTTCTCCCATCCAGACATGTAGCAGCCACTCAGCTTCGTAAAGTGGCCATGGTGCTCCTTGGAAAGACTGGCTTTATAAAAGGTTGTGAGCTGAAGTCTGTGGGCTGCTTTTACTCTTCAACCCCAACACAAGGCAGAGATGAACGGCCCTGTGCCTGGCACCAGTTCTGCAACCCTTGGAGAAGGACACGTCAAGAGCTGGGCATCAGCTTAGCTGAGACAGGATGTCGCTAGCTGAGCTGCTCCCCTCCCAGCTCCAAGCAGGTATAAATTCACAAGTGCTTTCCTCCAGCCTTGATTCACCTCCGGATCAAGGCTGCTCTCTCGGGGGAATTTTAATTCCCCAGGATTTTTGACACTTCATACACTTTCTGTGAATCTTTTCCAGGCTTCTCATCTGGAGTATTTTATCTGTTTGGCTATGGTTGCCGCTGATGGGAGGGGATGGGTTCCTTGGCTGGGCACCCATTTGCAATGAATTTCCCCTGATCCCCTCAGGGAGGAGGCCGTGCAGGTCCCTGCCTGCTGAAAGAATGTGGGATGGCTCCAACTGTGGCCGTCGGGGATTTCTGTTATACACCAGCTTTCTTGCATCTGACTCTTGGGTCCATTTCCCTCCAGCAGAGGTGGCAGGAGCCATCTGGCTTGGGAACCACTGTCCTGTGGCCCATCTTGAACACATCACCCTGGCAAGTCTGGCCCTAGCTTGCTGCATGTGGTTTCCCATGGGCCAGCAGGGTGATGAAACAGCTGGTGAACCTGCCTGAAGGAGCCCAGCATGTTGTTCAGAGATAAGATGTAGAGATGACTCCGTTTCTAAGCATGGAGAGAGGAAGTATGTTGGAGGTAGCTCTGCAGGACAGCACTAAAGGAGAGAGGACCTGGCCATGGTATATCCAAGCTGAGCAAAAATGGGAGATAACATGTGGGGTGAGTGACTTGAAAAGTTTAGGCTGGGTACTCAGCAGGACTCGGGAAGTAGCCAAACATCCAACCAGCCCACATAAACCAAGGTTGGATCCATTTTGCATGCTGAGTTTCAATTTAGTGACAAACACCGATACAGGTATTGGCACAGGGCCTGCACAGCATGTGATGCTAACCTGATCAGAATGTTCTCCCTGAAGTTGGGGCCCTCAGTGCTGGCTCTGGTGTTGGTGCTGGTACCCTGCAGCAGCACAGTACCAGAAGCCAACAGCAGTCCTGTAGCAATTTTGGCTGTATTATTTTGAGATCTGGTGGGCGGCTTCTTGCTCTCATGTAAACAGGAACTCTTAGCTTCATGCTTTCTTGATACTTTCCCCTATGGTGGCTAATGCTTCTTCTCCAGCTTTGGGTCCTAGACCAACATATGAACTGGAGAAGCCTATGAGGGTTTCTGCTGTGTAGCTGTTGTGGGGAAGGTGACACCTAAGGCTCGGATGAATGCCACAGTTGAGTGTGAGGACTTTGCTGGCTAACTCTCTCTTGCCTGTGCTGTTCTCAGCATGCCATGGGCAGCAGCCCCTCCTTTTAGCAGGCATTCTTGCCTCATGTGCCCAGGGTCCTATGCAAGAACATGGAGGGAATGGACCACCCCTCTTCCCCATGTGGCAGGGGACACAGCTGACCCTGCACCCTGGGGCCCAAGCACGTCACCCGCTCAGGTGGAGCAGGGATTGCAGGACATGTCTAATCGGGAACACAGTTTGGGGTTTACACGCCACAGGGACAGTGCTGGGAAGCAATTGGTGGAGGAGCACCACAGACCTGTGCATCTCAGTAGCATTGCTGCATGGGGAAAGGGGTGTCTCTTGTCTTGTGCTGTCGCTAGGCAGACTGCCAGCCCCCTTCCCTGTGCTCAGGCTCCCAGTATATATATGAGGGACCAGCCTTGTGCCCTTCCTTAAGCCAGCAGTGGCAAAGAGAGGTGATTTAGTTTCAAGGCACAATTCTGTTAGGAACTCCTTATTCTCTTTTGGTGTTGAGAGCAAGGCCAGATGGAGACAGACCTTGTTGTACCTCCCAAGGTTTTGGGACATTTACAACAGGGACTGACATCACTGGAGACCATCCCCTGTGCTGGTTCCCTTCAACCTCATGCCAGAGCTCCTGAGACAAGAGATAAGCAGCTCCAAGGACCATGCACACTAGCCAGTGATGGGGAAAATGGTCTAGGGTTGCATTCTCTTCCCTTTCCATCCCATTTCACACTATACGCAAGCTGCATAGAGAGCCAGCTCTTGTCCTGGCATCTCCTTCAGGAGGATGCTCTTCTGATCCTTCTTAGGAAGCCAGGAGATTAGCAGGTGCTTTGCCTCATAGATAGAGTACCTGGGTATGATCTGCATTGCCACTGGCTGCTGGAAAGAGATGTGTTAGCACTGTCAGGATGATCCTGATTCTCTTGTGGCTGAGGTTTTTTACTCTTTAGCTTTCACAAAGAGCAGACACTAACATATGCTGAAGAAGCAAAGTTGCTTTTTAGGGGGAAAACACAGCAGAGGGGTGAACTAACAGCACAATAATGGGATGGGACAGGATGGGTTGGGACGTGTGGCAGGGGTGGAGCTGCTTTTCAGGCAAAGGGGACATGCCAGGAACAACCCAGACTTTCAGCACATGCAGGTAGACCCAGCGTGCAGTGCATCCCAGAAGTGGCAATGCCGCTCTTAGACTGCTGCCTAAAGCTGACTCCCCAGTGTGGGTGCTGCCATGTCTCCCATGCTCTCTGGAGCCTGCTGTGCAAGGCTCGTAGGCTGAATCACAGTGGTGATATTTTAATCTCTCTGTGTCAAGATGATCTGAGCTGACAGGGAACAGGAGAGCCTGGATTCCTCCTCCAACCCTTGGAGAAGGAAGGTAGAAAGAAACAGAGCGGCAATCAAATCCTTGTACTTGTGGAGACCCCAGGCGTTTCCTCCTGAAAGGCTCAGCCCACCCAGCTCCCCCCATATGAATCTCCTGGAGTTGCCAGGACAGGAATGCTCCAGATGCCCCTGAAATACCCCAATTCTTCTCCAGTGTACAGGGAGTAGAGCTCTCCTCGCTGGGGCAGTGCTGGGAGTTGGAGCTCACCAGCCGAAGGGCACCCTCCAAGCGCCTTTCCACCGAATTCTGACAAGGAGCATCTGAGTTACTCAGGGCACAGGAGGAGGAGACCTCTTGGGCAGGGAGCAGTTCTGAAAGGCACCAGGAAGACCATTTGCTGCACTCTTCCTCCTCAGCTACAACTTACGAGTGCCTTTGGGCTGTCAGCGCTTCCACCGCAGTCCTCAGGGCTCCCTCAGCAATAGGACTGGAGCGAAGAGGACACTCAGCCCGCTGGGCTGCTTTAGGCAGAATGTTGCCATCAAGTGGAGGGAGGTGGTCCTGCTCCTCTGCTCAGCACTACTGAGACGTACCTGCATTGCTGGATCCGGCGACGGACTCCCCAGCATAAGAGCAAATATGATCATACTGGAAAGAGTTCAGCAAAGGGCTGATGATGCTGGGGGGACTGTAGCATTTCTGATAAGAGGAAAGGCTGAAAGAGCTCAGGCTGTTCTCCCTGGAGAAGGCTCAGGTAGGGGAGCTTACCAACATACTAGTAAGTACTGGTGGAGAGGCATGGAGAGTAGAGCCACACTGTGCTTAGTGGTGCCCAGTGGCAGGATAAGTGGTGATGAACATATGCTGAAATCCCATCCAAACCCGAGAAAATACTTGTGTATGCATGTGCATGCAGAGTGCGTGCTGTGTGTATGTGCTTCTGTATTGTGTGTGTTGTGCATATAGGCATGTTGTGTGTAGATGTGTATTGTGTGTGTTTTGTGTTGTGACTGGTGTGTATTTATGTTGTGTGTTGTGTGCACAGTGCATGCTTTGTGTGCATGTGTGGTGTTTTGTGTGTGTTCAGTGTCTGTGGGGTGGTGGTCCAGGGTACTTGGCTCCCTCCATGGGAGGGCCAAGGGGGCCTAAGAGCAGCCTTGGCCCCAGAGAGGCCCCAGATAGTGTTAGAGGCATGTGGGAGAGTGAAATGCAGGGCATATGAGGGTTTATGGGGCATGCACTGGGGAAGCTGAGGGTACCCAGGGGGTTATGAGGCACAAGGGAGGTTGGAAGATCCTGCAGGAGCTATGGAGCATCCAAGAAAAGCAATGTGACACCCAAAGGGTCAGGATACCACGGGAGAGTTTGGTGCACATCCAGGGCAACAGGGAGACCCTGGGGGTGTGATGAGGCACCCATGGGAGCTATGGAGCACCCAGAAAAGGGAGATCTACGGGGCACAGGAGAGGTTGGAGGCACCCTAAGGGGCTATGGGACACCCAGGAGGTTGGAAAAGCACAGGTTTTTTTATGAGGCACAGGGGGAGCCATGTCCACCTTGGACAGCGTTGGGAGCACTCAGAGAGGGGTAGGATCGCAGGGTCCCCCAGAAGCTGATGCCAGAGCCCAGGCCTGTAGCATCTCCTTTATTGCAGGCCTTATCAGGGCCTCCAGTGGGAGGGAGAATCCACATTCCCCCCATGTGGAGCTTCACTGGGGAGGAGCATAGGTGCCAGCGAGGTGCACGGGCAGCCCGTCACGGCAGGAGACACGCACGTGGTGCTGAACCTGCAATGCCCGGTAGGAGCAAGGGGGCCGGTTGTTCCCCCCGCGCAGGCGGCAGGCTGTGAGGCCCATGGGCGTCGGGGTGCTGTGGAATCCCGCTTCATCAGGCGCCTGGGTGCAGGCAGCCACCAGCTCCTCAGCCGGAGCATGCACGAAGGTGTTGGAGGGCTTGCAGGGCCGGCCGGGCGCTGTCACCTGCCGCCGCGCCAGCATGGTCTCGCAGTAGCGGTGTGCCGAGAGCGGGGATGTCCGGGGATGGTCCACGTGCTGCCGCAGGAACTTCTCGTAGCGGGTCTCACCCACCGCGCCTGACAGCGCTGCCAGCACCAGCGCCATGCACAGAGCCCAGCCCACCATTGGCACCTGTGGGAAGCGGGGTCAGGGACATCCAGACTGCTGGAATCCTGACTGGAAACCCCATGCTGGATGCTCGATTCCTTTACAGGAATTCTTTTCCTCCTCCTGTACACCTGGTTTCCTTACAAATCCCTTCAAAATACATGTGGACCCCCCTTGACACCTGGGCTTGGATTCCACCGGGATGCCTGGGTCCCCTACAGAACACCCAATGGACACCTGAGTCCCCTACAGTTCTCCACTCCCCAGAAGCTTGTGTCCCCCCATGGACCCCCCCGAACCCCTATAGATCCACCCCGTACCCCAGCACCTGGATCCCCTACATATCCACCCTTCCCCACTGGATGCTTGGGCTGCTCACAGTGCCCTCCCACAGACACTCTGGTCCCCTGCACATCCCTCACGCGCACCTGTGTATGTGCCTCAGTTTCCCTTATGGCCTTGGGGTCTCCGGGATCCCTCCCACTCCTCTGCACCTCTTTTATACTGGGCCCAACGGGCAAGGATCCAGGAGGAGGAGCAGGACAAAGAGCAAGGTCCAGCGGATCTGTGTGGGCAGCCAGGTGAGGCCCCACTCCGCCTGGTGCCCTACCCCAAGGTCATTAGGCAGTCATTAACGAAGCACGTAACTGGCTGCGCAAGTCCCCTGGGATGCCCCCCGCCCCTGCTGCTCTGGACCATGCATTTGGCCTTGCCACGTGTCCCATAGAGGGGCAGGACACCTTGGTCCCCTTGTGTGCCCGACGGGATACCTGGTTCCCTGGAGAGGCAGCACGTCAGCATCACCTCTGGGACAGCTGTCAGGCGCTCCTGCCCCTCTTGCACGATGTGGTATGTCCATGGCTGCCCTGCACTGCTCCAGAGCTCTGTCCCTTCCCACTGTGCCCCGGGAAGTGCCCCACCATTACCTCACATGGTCCTGGCTGCCCCACTGGGGCGGGAACTAGCCATGACACCCTTTCCCTCGACCATCAGGGAGAGCCTCATGGACTCGCATAGAGAGCGTGTCTTCTCCAGAGGGAGAGGCACCACCCTCCCCAAAAGAGCTGTAAAAGCTCTAAGATCAGCCATGATGAAGGCGGAGAGCGCCCTGCCCTGTAGTTACATCTCTACGGCTCTGCGTGTATCCCAAAGCGGAAGAACTAGCTCAGCTGCCCCAGAGCTACCGCACCCCCATCCCGCCCTCCCACCTTCCCCCGCTGCCCCCTACCCCCCGCACCGTTGGTCCCGTCCAGCTGTGGTAGGTCCCGGCGGGGAGCGGCCCCGTTCTCGCGAGAGAGCAGCCTCACTCTCGTACAATCCCGCGCGATCTGGTGGTTCCGGTCTTTCCGTGGCCAGGGCGGGACCATGGCGGTCGGCAAGAACAAGCGGCTCACCAAGGGTGGCAAGAAAGGCGCCAAGAAGAAAGTGTAAGGCGGCCGGGACGGGATGGGACGGGCTCGGGGGCACCGGGCGGGACGCCGCGGCGGCGGGATGGCGCGGATGCGGGGCGGATGGCGGTGGCCGGGAGCGGGCCGCTGCTGTTATGGCGGCGGCCGAGCGCGGGCCTCGCTGCATGGCAGCGGGAGGGGAGGTGCGGGCTGGGGACCGCTGTGGAAGCGCGGGTCCCGGCCGAGCTGGGTCTCCCCTGGTCCCGTCATGTGCCCAGGGTGCGCTCCCGACGACTGGGAGGGCAGCAGCAGGGCTGTGCCTCGCATCCGGTACGGGTCCCGGCACCGGCTGGGGTGCTGCGAGCCGGGTGCCCAGGCCTAGTGGGCGTAGCGTGGTTTGCTTGCTGTGGAAGCAGGGGGTCTCGAGGGGTGGTGGTGGTACATGCTTCGTTGTATGTGGTGTATTTCGGCTGCAGAAGTCAAGGAATGAAATGGGGTATTCGTGGGGAAGTTAAAAAGCCTGTATCGCTTCTGAGCAGTAGCTGGAATTGTAGCACTGTACAGCTTGTCATTTCAGCTTCATGATGTTTCTGTAGTTGATTCCAGTTTTTCTGAAGTAAACTGAATGCTGTCTCCCTGTAGTGGGTAATGGTGTCATTATTCACATACTTGCCATTCTGTCCACGTTAAACTTGAAAGCACAAAGTATTACTATTTTCATTCCCGTTTCACAAGGCGTATGGGGAGGATGTTCTTACTTCAGCTCAGTTTCACCTAAGAAAAGTCAGTAAAAAGTATCTTGTCTGCTTTATTTAAATTAAGGGTTGATCCTTTCTCCAAAAAGGACTGGTATGATGTCAAAGCACCAGCAATGTTTAACATCCGAAACATTGGGAAGACGCTTGTCACCAGGACTCAAGGAACTAGTGAGTAGTGGGGCTTTATGCAATAGAGGGAGAAATGATTGTTCTTTGTGCTGGCTCCAAGTGAGACTCAGTTAAAGAATGGCTGGCAAACAGTTTTTACTCATATTGTTATAAACCTGGAAGTTTAAAAATAAGATGAAAGGTATCTCTAACTTAATTGCTTGATTTGAATGACTTTTCTGAAGTTGGCAAAGTGTTTAAATAAATACCTTGGTTGCAGGGAAATGAATACAGTGGGCTCCTTGCTTGTCCAGGAGTACCAGAATGTGGCTAGGGTACAGAAGGGCACACCTGAAGTTTCTAATGAACTGGTACTGGGGTAACCTGATGAGTTTGAGGGTTGTTAAGAACTAAGGAGTCATTCTGATTATCAGGGGCAGATGTGGAGACTGGTACAGAAGGGTACTGTGTGCAGTTCTGGTATCCTCAACATAAAAAGGATGTGGAACTGTTGGAGCAAGTCCAGAGGAGGGCCACGAGGATGATCAGGGGACTGGAGCACCTTCCGTATGAAGATAGGCTGAGAAAGTTGGGGCTGTTCAGCCTGGAGAAGAGAAGGCTGCGTGGAGACCTCATAGCAGCCTTCCAGTATCTGAAGGGGGGCTGTAAGGATGCTGGACAGTGACTCTTCATTAGGGGCTGTAGTGACAGAACAAGGGGTAATAGGTGTAAACTGAAAATGGGATAGATACAAGGAAGAAGTTCTTTACTGTGAAGGTGGTGAGGCACTGGAACAGGCTGTCCAAGGAAGTGATAAATGCACCATCCCTGGTGATGTTCAAGGCCAAGTTGGACAGAGCCTTGGGCAATAAGGATGTATGAGGTGTCTCTGCTCATGGAACTAGATGTTCTTAAGGTCCTTTCCAAGCCTAGCTATTCTGTGATTCTATAAATACCATCACGTTTGAAGAGACTGAAATGTGAAACTTAGCAGGTAAAGTGATCTTTAGAGCTGGAATTGCTAACTTCGTGGGAGCACAGGTACATGTGTCACTGGCTTTTTGTGTTGTCTGTCATAGCTCAGGAAAGGGGAGCATCTGTTAGAAATACAGGGTGATCCACTAAGAGGCATCAGTATTTTTGGAAGGTCAGCTGTGTAGAATGGTTAAATAGTTGCATTATACTATTCTAGTTTCACTTAAAGTTACAAAGGTGAGCATTATTTTCAACTGCATACATGTAAAGTAAAAAAGGGTCATTGTAAACCAAGCATGAGTCGGGCAGTGTGAAAATGGTTAGTTGTTAGAGCTGTACTTAAAATGGTTGTTGTTGATTTAGCTCTGCTGAGCACATGCTTGTCTTCCTGTTGTTGTTCATAATTTCCAAATACTTCGTAGCCGCTTCCATTGAAAAAAAAAACCAACCCAACCCCAAAGCTATTACATATCCTGGGATCTGCTGTGGACTGGTATTTGTGTTCAGCGCCTGATACAATTACCCTAAGAAGATTCCTCACCAAATTAACAAAATACAGTATTTGGTTCTAGGAGTTGAATTGATCTTGGTCAAGATGCATATAAACTTCAGAGCAGTGAAACTAGTGGCATCCTTTACTGTTAGAAACAATAAAATGGAAAGTCAATATTTGGTTTGAATAATGCATTTCTAATGTTAATAAAAGGTTTTATTTGTTTCATAACACAGAAATTGCCTCTGATGGGCTGAAGGGTCGTGTATTTGAAGTGAGCCTGGCTGATCTGCAGAATGATGAGGTTGCCTTCCGTAAATTCAAGCTGGTAACTGAGGACGTTCAGGGCAAAAATTGTCTGACCAACTTCCATGGAATGGACCTCACCAGGGATAAAATGTGCTCCATGGTCAAAAAGTGGCAGGTGTGTAAAGCACGAGGTCTGCATTGCTGTCAGTGCCTCAGGGAAAGGAGGCAGCCACGGGTGCATGTACAGCTGTATTTGCAGTGGCAGCAGCAGATGTTAGTGAATGTCAGGTGGGTCATGTTGAGAAACCTGTCCATCATGTTGATGGTAAATGGCTGTTTCTCTTTTAGACGATGATTGAAGCCCATGTAGATGTCAAAACGACCGATGGTTACCTGCTGCGCCTCTTCTGCGTGGGTTTCACAAAGAAGCGCAATAACCAAATCCGCAAGACCTCGTATGCCCAGCATCAGCAGGTGCGGCAGATCCGCAAGAAGATGATGGAAATCATGACACGAGAGGTCCAAACCAATGATCTGAAAGAAGTTGTCAATAAGCTGTAAGCTCTGACTCTGTTCTGTTGGTTTTTCCCCCCCTTACAGTTTACATGGTTGCTTGTTGGCCAGTTTTCCCGGGGTACTTCGGGATTGCAGGTGCTTCACATAGTGTTTAGCAGAGATCAGGCAAACTGCCTCTCATGTTGAAGACCCAGCACACTTTTCAAATACTGAATCTCAACATAGTATTTGGCTTCCATCAGCTATCATAAATAAGTTTGCATAAGTTTGCATAAATGTAGAACTAGGCTCTTTCGATTCATGTTTCTACAGACTAAAATTGTAACTCTGATCAGCTGGGGCTGTGAATGTTCTGGGTTCTTCTGATAGAAGGACGTTCTCCAAAGTGTGGTTTTTGCTTCCAGAAGTTGCACATGCACTCTCAACATGAGCATGCTTATACTGTATCTCTTCTAATGCTGCAAGGAAAATGTTTTGGAATCTAAATGTACTTAAAAGAGTGAAGGTAGTATTGATAATACAGGCTTCTGTAGAGTATTATGTATGCTTAAGAATTCTTTTAAGCCTGTGCTGTTGAAGAAGCAGAAACAGTGTTTAATGTTCTTGGGCTGCTGTGCTTTGATTCCTCAGGATCCCAGACAGTATTGGCAAAGACATAGAGAAGGCCTGTCAGTCCATTTACCCACTTCACGATGTCTATGTCCGCAAGGTTAAGATGCTGAAGAAGCCCAAGTTCGAACGTAAGTCAATTACTGCAGACTTCGATGCTCTCAGTGGAGGAGGCGGGAAGCTGTTAGTTTAAAATGCATTTGCTCTTGGATAAGATGTTAAAGCAGCATCATAAGCTTCTTCACTACTAGTAAAGAAGTGTTTGGCTTCTAGTCCAGTGTTTGCCTTTCAGGCTTGACAGCCAAGCAGGATTCCTGTACTTCAGAGCTTTTTTGAATTCTTGCCTGGAACTGCTGCTGAATGCTTAAAGGCTTTGGCTTGGGAATGAGTGATGACAAAATGTTTCGGTCCCAAATGACATGGAATGA